ATTAGAATAATCTCATATCCATTGGGAGGACTGTTTTGAGCCATTAGAACCAGGTAAAAGAATAAGTTCTGTCACAACAAATTCTAGGAAATAGACGCATTATTGAGCTTATGCTCGAAATCAATTAAGGGTACGAAAAGTTCTGTCACAACAAATTCTTAAAAGGGTATAATATGCATACACTTATCCTATCAAAACCTTCTTGCTTTTTTTTTTTTTTTACCTTTAAAGTTAAAGTCTATACACAAAGTAACACTCTTATCTTCTTTTTTTCTTAATGCAAGACTTTGTTCATACACCCAACCAATTATCAAACTACTTGATTCAGAACAATACATGCCATCCTGGATATCCTCCGTTCCATCACTAAACTTTGAGGACTATAACAATGTGTTTCTTCCGTTCTACTCTCCGAGAAGACAAGAACAGCAGTCTCACTCTCACACTCACCTATAAGTTCCAGGAAGATACAAAAAAATGTTTAATCAGTGGTATTGAAACTATGAAGAACATGCCATGTATGGACTTCTGCACTGTCTTCCATCAGCAGGTCAATTCTTGTGGAAAATTGGCTCGAGCTGGTGCACTATGTAGGCGCTGTATTCAGAGTAGATTTCCAGTCTAACCTTAATGCATTAGCAAAGTGACACTCCTATTCTTAAGGTATAAAGTTGTTATGTTTCTTTCAAAGTTTACACACTCCTATCCTAAACAATTTTGTTGTGTGGTGGTCCTATTCCTGGAATCCAATTAAGTTGGCAAAACAAAGATATTTTTTTGTCGATAATAACGTTGCACACAAAATGCATGTGTAATGTGTTATATACAAGTGGTGGGACTTTGTGATTTGACTTAAGAATGTGAACTATTGATAGTTTCCGGCATTCACTTGTGTGACACATTGAATGGGCATATGTGATTCACAACTTCAAATTGACTGAAAATGACTACGTAACCAATAGTAAAATTCTCTTTGCTTAATTTGTGTTATATATACCTCATCAAAATTGTTGAATAAACACACAAAGCAAAATATTTCTTGATTTCTTCTCTACCAACTTAATTTAGTTTTGATCATTTTTTAGTGCAGAAATGGATTGTGTAAAACTTGTATTGTTTATGCTATATACCTTTCTCGGTCAACTTATTTTCTCCTTATCCTTACCTCATTTGTGCCCCGAAGATCAAGCTCTTGCTCTTCTACAATTCAAGAACATGTTTCCCATTAATCCTAATGCTTCTGATTATTGTTTTAAATTTAAAGAGTTTCATTCATATCCGAAAACTCTTACATGGAATAGTAGCACAGATTGTTGCTCATGGGATGGAGTACATTGTGACAAGATGACGGGACAGGTGATTGAGCTCAACCTCACTTGCAGCGGACTTCAAGGCAAGTTTCATTCCAAATTGTAGCCTCTTTCAACTTTCCAATCTCAAAAGGATTGATTTGTCTTTTAATAATTTCACTGGATCGCTCATTTCACCTAAATTTGGTGACTTCTCCAGTTTAACACATCTTGATCTAACAGTTACAAGTTTTTCGGGTCAAATCCCTTCTGAAATATCTCATCTTTCAAAATTACACGATCTTCGTATCTCTAATGTTTATCCATATGAGCTTAGATTCGGACCTCACAATTTTGAATTGCTCCTTAAGAACTTGACCCAATTAAGAGAGCTCCACCTTCACGATGTGAACATCTCTTCCACCATTCCTCTGAATATCTCTTCTTATTTAACAAATCTACGGCTTCCATTAACAGAGTTACGTGGGGTATTTCCCGAAAGAGTTCTCCACCTTTCCGATTTAGAATTCCTTGATTTATCAGAAAATCCCCAGCTCACTGTTAGGTTTCCCACAACCAAATGGAATAGCAGTGCATCACTCATGTACTTAAATCTCTATGATGTGAATATTAATGGTAGGATACCTGAATCATTTAGCCATCTAACTGCACTTCATGACTTGAACATGGGTTATTCTACTCTGTCAGGGCCTATTCCTAAACCTCTATGGAATCTCACCAACATAGAGAGTTTGTTCCTTAGTGATAACTATCTTGAAGGACCGATTTCCCAGTTCTCGAGATTTGGAAAGCTTAGGGTGTTATACCTTGGATATAACAACTTCGATGGCTGACTTGAGTTCTTATCCTTTAACAGAAACTGGACGCAACTTGAAGTATTAGAGTTTTCATTCAATAACCTAACTGGTCCAATTCCAACTAATGTAAGAGGACTACAAAACCTACAATGGCTCAAATTGTCATCAAACCACTTGAATGGGACTATACCTTCCTGGATATTCTCCCTTCCTTCACAGACAGTGTTAAACTTGAGAAATAACCCTTTCAGTGGAAAAATTCAGGAGTTCAAGTCCAACACATTGTTGGAAGTTGATCTAAGACAAAATCAACTAGAAGGTCCTTTACCAAATTCACTCCTAAAACAGCCAAACCTAAAATTTCTTCTCCTTTCACACAATAATATTAGTGGACAGATTGCTTCAACTATCTGCAATCTGAAAACACTAACAGCTTTGGACTTAGGAAGTAACAATTTGGAGGGAACAATCCCACAATGTTTGGTTGAGATGAATGAATACCTTTGGAATTTGGATTTGAGCAACAACAGTCTTAGTGGGACTATCAATACAAATTTTAGTGTTGGAAACGATCTCACGATCATTAGCTTGCATGGGAATAAGCTAACGGGGAAAGTCCCACGATCTTTGATCAATTGCAAGTACTTGACACTTCTTGATCTAGGTAACAATCAGTTGAATGACACATTTCCAAACTGGTTGGGACACCTACCTGATTTGAAGATTTTAAGCTTGAGATCAAATAAGTTTCATGGTCCCATTAAATCTTCAGGGAATACAAACTTGTTTGCGCGGCTTCAAATTCTGGATCTATCATCCAATGGATTTAGTGGTAATTTACCAATAAGTCTTTTTGGGAATTTGCAAGCCATGAAGAAATTGATGAGCGTACAAGAACCCCAGAGTATGTTTCTGATCAATATGCTGGTTATTATGATTATTTGATGACAATTACAACAAAGGGGCAAGAGTATGATTGTGTTCAAATTTTGGATTCTAACATGATTATCGATCTCTCAAAGAACCGATTTGAAGGTCATATTCCAAGCATTATTGGAGATCTCGTTGAACTTCGTACCTTGAACTTATCTCATAATGTCTTGGAAGGTCATATACCAGCATCATTGCAAAATTTATCTGTACTCGAATCATTGGATCTCTCATCTAACAAAATCAGCGGAGGAATTCCACCACAACTTGCATCCCTCACGTTTCTTGCAGTCTTAAATCTCTCTCACAATCATCTTGTTGGATGCATCCCCAAAGGAAAACAATTTGATACGTTTGAGAATAGCTCATACCAAGGGAATGATGGGTTATGTGGACTGCCATTCTCAAAACATTGTGGTGGTGATGGTAGGGTACCACAAGCGACAATTCCAGCTGAGCAAGATCAAGAAGAAGAAGAAGATTCACCAATGATCAGTTGGCAGGCGGTTCTCATGGGTTACGGTTGTGGTCTAGTTATTGGACTGTCTATAATATACATAATGTTGTCAACTCAATATCCAACATGGTTTTCGAGGATGGTATTGAAATTGGAACACAGAATGATTACGAGAATGAAAAGGCACAAGAAAAGATATTAGTGAGTAGCGACCTCCAGGTATATAACTTGATCTATTTTATTTTATTTCTATTTTTTTTTACCCTCCGTAGGAGCTCCCACCCCTTTTGCTCCCTTGGTGACTCGAACTCGCAACCTTCGGGTTGGAAGTGAGAGGTGCTTACCATCCGAGCAACTCCCTCTCGTCATTCAACTTGATCATTATCCTTCAGAAGATTATTTTTTATATATCGATGTAATTTCTACCTACTTCATCCTTTAAGCTCTTAACTTTAATTCTTCATTTTTGAAAATTGCAGGATTCAAGTCTACTGAATTGCTGGGATGCAATAAGACGAGTTTTTGTTTACCAATAGTCTGTTATATAGTATGTAGTAATTTATTCAGCCTGATTATTAGTTAGCTACTTCATTTCGACTGCAATGTTCAGTTCATAAATTTATGAAGTTATCTTATCTTTTTGTTTTAATTACATCAATAATTTCAATAGCAAGCTAAACGTGTACACCTTTTAAGACTCTCCTAAAAATTGGCTTAAATATCCTTATGGTGTTAAAGATTGCTCTAAAGTCACCACTCCTTGTTAGTCGAAAATCACACTTGTCTAATTTCAAATGTTTATATGTAAAAAGAATCGAAGATATGCCTTTTTTTCTCAACTTTGATCTGTAGAGGTATTGATCTTGTCGCCTCTGCTCTCTGTGCGTTCCTATTTCTTAATAAATCTCTGTGACATTAGATACAGGCCTTGTACACCATACCTTGTAGGAAGACAATAACGGATTAGTTCAAGGAGTACTAAAAGTTCTGTTAAAGAAAATGCTTAAAAACTACATATGACATCTTGTATTATAAAGAGAATGCAAGCTTGAGTCTACTTCAAATGATCATAATATATCGGATACTCATTAAATGAGCATTCTCAATAACAGAGCTTGGATCAAATCTATATTATGTGCACAGAATTATGAAGCATGAATACTAGTTCACCTCAACTTTTTCCTTTTCTTTTTGCTAAGAAAAGGCATTTTGTTGGGTTATACACATTTACAAGGGTGAAAAAGATGCCACAATTTACACCATCCTGTATCAAACAGTCCAGAATCGAGACGAAGATAACTAGCTTTATAAAAAATTATTGATAAAAATTATTGATCTAGGAAAAAGATGCATTCTTGAGCTTATGCTCGAAACTAATTAAGGGATAATTCTCAAAGGAGTACGAAAAGTTCTGTTATAGGAAGTTTCGTTCATAACGTTCAAGAATTTGAATTACTCTGTGGGAGTATCAATTTGGAGGGAACAATCCCACAATGCCTGGGTGAGATGAATGAATACCTTTGGAATTTGGATTTGAGCAACAACAGTCTTAGTGGGACAATCAATATAAATTTTAGTATTGGAAACTCTTTCAGGGTCATTAGCTTGCACGGGAATAAGCTAACAGGGAAAGTCCCACCATCTTTGATCAATTGCAAGTATTTGACACTTCTTGATCTAGGTAACAATAAGTTGAATGACACATTTCCAAACTGGTTGGGAAACCTACCTGATTTGCAGATTTTAAGCTTGAGATCAAATAAGTTTCACGGTCCCATTAAATCTTCAGGGAATACAAACTTGTTTGCGCAGCTTCAAATTCTGGATCTATCATCCAATGGATTTAGTGGTAATTTACCAATAAGTCTTTCTGGGAATTTGCAAGCCATGAAGAAAATTGACGAGAGTACAAGAACCCCAGAGTATGTTTCTGATCAATTTGCTGGTTATTATGATTATTTGATGACAATTACAACAAAGGGACAAGATTATGATTGTGTTCAAATTTTGGATCCTAACATGATTATCGATCTCTCAAAGAACAGATTTGAAGGTCTTATTCCAAGCATTATTGGAGATCTTGTTGGACTTTGTACCTTGAACTTATCTCATAATGTCTTGGAAGGTCATATACCAGCTTCATTGCAAAATTTATCAGTACTCGAATCATTGGATCTCTCATCTAACAAAATCAGCGGAGAAATTCCACAACAGCTTGCATCCCTCACATTCCTTGCAGTTTTAAATCTCTCTCACAATCATCTTGTTGGATGCATCCCCAAAGGAAACCAATTTGATACGTTTGAGAACAGTTCGTACCAAGGGAATGATGGATTATGAGGATTGCCACCCTCAAGAGACTGTGGCCGTGATGATAGGGTACCACAAGAGACAATTCTAGTTGAGCTAGATCAAGAAGAAGTAGATGATTCACCAATGATCAGTTGGCAGAAGGTTCTCATGGGTTACGGTTGTGGTCTAGTTATTGGATTGTCTGTAATATACATAATGTGGTCAACTCAATATCCAGCATGGTTTTCGAGGATGGATTTAAAATTGGAACACAAAATTACTACGAGAATGAAAAGGCACAAAAAAAAGATATTAGTGTGTAGCGACCTTCAGGTATTCAACTTGATCTTTATCTTTCTTAAGATTATTTTTTATATATCAATGTATTTTCGACCTCCTTCATCCTCAAAGCTCTTACCTTTAATTCTTCATTTTTGAAAATTGCAGGATTCATGTCTACAAAGTTTCTGAAGATTAAGATAAAAAGCCTCTATCTTTCATTTGTCTATGGCATGTAGAAATAAATTCGACTGATAAATAGAAGTCGGACATAAAGTTGAATCTTTGGATCAATCAGATGATATGTGTCATCACTAAAAACGTAGTATTTCACTCAACTCTTTCACATAACATCATAACACAAACATAGAACACTCGAATTTAAGTTCAAAAACATAAAAATCTGAAGTTACCGAGTTCGGAATATTTTTTTTCAGATTCATGATGGTCCTTCATCAAAAGATCAAAGAAACATTACCAGGGACCAAAGTTACAGTTTTCTATCTTTAACTCTTTTCATTGAAGCAGCAGCAAAAAGATTTGCATTATTCTCTACTCCCTGAGCCTCACATAGACAACATCACGTGTTTTCAACTGGAATCTGCATTCTTTGAAGAGTTGGAGAAAGAGCCTTCAACTCTTCCCATCTAAGTCTCTGATGACAGAGTTACCCGATATCTCTATTGGTGGAAGGTAGACGGTACCGGTTGAATTAATCGAATAGACTCAAGTTGACCTGAGCATCACTGTTATACAACAACAAACTATGCCTCAGCCCCAAACAAAAACTTGCATAGAGACCTGCAATAATGTTCGAAGCCCAAAATAAGATAGACATAAACACACAATTGAGTGATATAATTTCTAGTGATCGAAATCCATATGGATTTCAAACATCATTTAGGAAGAAATCAAGCAGAAGCGCTTGACTATAGGTGAGGTTTATCGTGATCAACTATTGTTCAGATTCATTAATTAGCAAACTGCTCCACAATTTCAAAGTTTCGGGGCAAAGAAAAAGATTCATAAAAACAAAAGGGAATACCTCGCCAAACAGACTTAGGAACCAGGTTTGTCAAGATATCACTGCAGCTTTCTTTACGCTGTGCTTTAATCTCTGTGCAAAATCCATATGCAGGATCCTTTTAACTGATTTTGATGAGTCGAGATTTCACAAAAATGTATCTGTCAAACTATGACTTAGCTGATGCGGCAGTTATCAGCTCCACTAAATATACTTGTGGGCTGAAACCTTGTGTATTCCAGCATCTAACATTGCTTTTCTCAAGGCAGCAGCATAATCCCACCTCTCTGCGCCAGCACAAATGATTCGGTTGCGACTCAAGCAGTAGTTGTGATACTTCATATCCCAATTCAATAGCTCCATGAAGTCTACAAGCACCCATCAGAGCCCCCAAGACAGTAAAGGCATCAGCTTCAAACAAGATAATGTTCCATCTTAGCTACAAGTCAAAATTCATGAGACATCGCTTCAAACAATTTAAAACTGAAATCGACAAGCTTGGCATACACACAATTAAGCTGATAGAACAGACACAAAAGTAATCTCATTTGGTTGCAGCCCCTTTGCCCTCATCTTCTCATACATCGTTAATGCCTACTTCTCTCTTCTAAGAAAAGGGTTGTAGATTATTTGTGATACATTAATTTCTATTCGACCTCCTTTATGATGCAAATAACATTAATGAAAGGCATAAAACAGTACTAAATTAAGACAGGGAGATTTGATATATAGTTTAGAGAATATTTGGGCCTCTTGAAGTGTAACAGCCCAAAGCACAAAACATTGAAGACCCAAACCAGCAAAACAAAAGAAAATCAGAATCAGACATAAAGTTGAATCTTTAGATCATTCAATCAGACGATATGTGCCATCACTAAAAACATTGTATTTCACTCAACTCTTACACATAACACAAACATACAACACTCGACTTTAAGTTCAGGAACATAAAAATCTGTAGTTACAGAGTTTGAAGATATTTTTCTACCGACTCATGATGGTCCTTCATCAAAAAATGGAAGAAACATCAGGAAAACACAGAAAATCTAGTATCCAACACGGCTTCAGAAGGAGAATCTTCTGTTACTATCATCAATGAATTCAGTATTACAAACTTCAGGCCTTAAGAACTGAAATACAGGTGCTCGGAAAATTGATTTAGGCTGTATATGGATGATATACAGCGGAAAGGGACGACATAGGGTTCATATACAGTAGTAATATACGCTTGGTATATATTCAGGTTTTCAAGGGTAAAAATAGGGCCAATGCCCAAACACAACCTGCAGCAGGCCCAAGAAGGGCCCAAATTCAATTTCTCCTTCACTCTTAACCTATTTAACTGTGATTATTTACTGTTAGCTTTTTATTAACTCTAACTTTAAATAACTTAATTAAATACCCAAAAGATGAACTATATTATTTCTGTTAGTTTATTTTAATATAATTCATTTTTTATCAACTTTCATACTTTTATTGAATATATTTAGTCAAAACTTTTTATTTATTCTTCAATTAATTTAAAATCGTTTTCATACTTTTAGTTAATCAAATCGGTTTAAATTATTATTTTAAAATGATTCAAATAAATTTTAATTAATCTAGTTTTGTTAAAATACTAATCACTTGTAATTAAATTCAAATATTTTAATTAAGGTCCCCCTTTCTAAAAAAAATCAAAAATTGTTCTTTGTTTAACTATTTTTTTCAAGTTAATATTAAAAGTCATTTTCATAATCACTTCCCAAAAAATAGTCAAAAAAATATTTTAACCAAGTTGTAGGATAACCGCGTGTTAGCGGATGCTTCAAATGCCTTAAAAACCTTCTTGAAGCGTAAATAAGAACCTCTTACCCATTTTCTCTAAATTTTTAAAGACTTAATCTGTTAGAGTCTTTTTAAATTATAAGTTTTTTTGTAATTTCTCTAAAAAATAAAGTAGCGACTCTTTTCTAAGTATTTTTCTCAAATTGTCTTATACTTAAAGCATTTCAAAAGTAATTTTTCTAAAGATAGTCAAATTACAATATATATAACATTTAGATCATTCGATCAGATGATATTTGTCATCACTAAAAACATTGTATTCACTCAACTCGTTCACATGACATCATAATAAAAACATAGAGCACTCGACTTTATGTTCAGAAACATAAATTTGTAGTTACAGAGTTCGAAAATATTTTTTACAGACTCATCGAAAGATCAAAGAAACATCAGGAAACCATGGACCAAAGTTGAAGTCTTCTATCTTTAACTATTTTCATTGTAGCTTATATCATAAAAAAATTAACTCAAAGGAGATTTGGACTCAACTTCAACTTCCTGTGTATAATATTTCAAGAATAGTAAAACAAGTTGATATCTAAATTTACTTTGAAATGGCCTTCATACTTGGAACTATTAATTACTGCAGAACTTTAATCACTCATTAATGTATAAAACATGTACCCTATTGAGTTTTCTTATTGGGAGAAACGGTAGTCTATCAATTAGTAATGACTTTCCAATTTTTTGGTAGTTTATCAATAAATTAGTAATGACTTTCCTACATAAATTAAATGAATACATGGATTCTTTATTACCACAAATTTTTTAAAATAACAGTTTTTTTTTTTAAAGTAAGGAAAAAATGGTCAATTAATTTTGTACAGGTATTTCGTAATCCAACTTGGCACTTTGAAGCTTCACAATTTTAATTGAGCTTTATATTTTCATTGGAACGAACTTTAATTCTTTAACATGTGTATCTTGAGGAGAAGAGAAAGGGAAAGTTCTGAGTGGGGTTAAGGGAACCAAAACAAATACCTTTTATGTGACATTTTTGTCTATATATAATAATGTATCAGACAAAATGCATTTGTTATATACAAGCGGTGGGACTTTGTTACGTTGTTGCTTTCATTTGAACATATTGAATGTGCATATGTGATTGTCAACTTCAAATTGACTGAAAATGCTTAATTTATGCTAATCTCTATCTCATCAAAATTATTGAATACACACACAGAGCAAATATCTTCTCTACCAACTTAATTAGTTTTGATCATTTTTAGTGCGGAAATGGGTTATGTAAAACTTGTATTTTTTATGTTATATACCTTTCTCTGTCAACTTGGTATCTCCTCATCCTTACCTCATTTATGCCCCGAAGATCAAGCTCTTGCTCTTCTACAATTTAAGCACATGTTTACCATTAATCCTAATGCTTCTAATTTTTGTCGTGAAATAATAACAGATCAAGAGATTCAGTCATATCCAAAAACCCTTTTATGGAACAAGAGCACAGATTGTTGCTCATGGGACGGAGTTCATTGTGACGAGATGACGGGACAAGTAATTGAGCTTGATCTCAGTTACAGCACACTTCAAGGCAAGTTTCATTCCAATAGTAGCCTCTTTCAATTATCCAATCTCAAAAGGCTTGATTTGTCATGTAATAATTTCACCGGATCGCTCATTTCACCTAAATTTGGTGAGTTCTCTAGCTTGACGCATCTTGATTTGTCAGGTACAGGTTTTACAGGTCTAATGCCAACAGAAATCTCTCACCTTTCTAAATTACACGTTCTTCGATTCAGTGGTCTATATGACCTTAGTCTTGGGCGTCACAATTTTGAACTGCTCCTTAAAAACTTGACCCAATTAAGAGAGCTCAACCTTGACTATGTAAACATCTCTTCCACAATTCCTCAGAATTTCTCTTCTTATTTAAAAAATCTACGGCTTCCATACACAGATTTAT